TAGTGAGTGTGCTATATACAACATGTTAAGGCACTGCAAGCCCTTAACGCAGCTGCCCCTGGACCTCTAGCAACATAGCACAGTTCTCCAAGCTGCTCTGCGCCCACCCTGCTGCGCACCTCATGGCTGAGGCAGTGCTCCAGGGAGAAGCCTACAGCTCTGCTTCTTATTTACAGCCTGACCTTGGGCAGGGTTTCCCTCTCTCTAAAATGAGAGTGTTTATGTCTGATTCTCTTCTTCTGGTAGGGAAAAGTGAGTTGAATGAAACACTGCATTTTGGCACCCACAATATCCTCATTGCTGCTGCCTGGAGTGAAGTGATAGGCAGAAAAGGCACGAAGAGTCATTGCTATCTCTCTGTCATGGGGACAGTGGAGAAACACACCCTTCACTGCACCCCACCCCACATTCCTGCCATGGAAACAGGAGTCAGACCGGCATCACAGGAATGCCAAATCCCACCTGCTATGATGGGTCACCGTGAGCTCACACCTGTACTGTGAGTGGCTGACTCCCACATGCACGTTACAGCTGCAGCTGCTCCAATGAGGTCACTTCTGGCACTTCTCTGGCTGTGCTGCCTCCAGGCTCCCCTAAGATTTGAGCTCCCTTTTCTCCTAACCTGGGGCTTCAGCAGAACAAGAAAGGCATTCTTCATTCTGACCTAGCAGAATCTGTAAGAGGCCTGGAGGCACTTGCGCTCTGCCATGAAAGGTTCTTAGGTAACTTTGCTCTTAGCCTGAGGAACTGGCAGCAGCTCTAAGTGCAGACAGAAAATGCCATTTCCGAAGTGCAGGGAAGTGTTGGTGCTGGTTTGAAGCTGACAGGGTTGCTGGGAAATATTCCCTCTGCTTATTCAGGGGAAAGGAAGAGGAAAAGAACCAAGCAGAGAGAGAGACAAATTAAGTGCGGGATTTGATCCAGGTCCCCCTACTATTTCCTCAAGTGTGGCAGCCAGGGAAAAGTGCCACTCAGATTGCCTGCCACAGAATGTGAACTGCTGATGGCCACAGGGGTGGCTGCTCAATTCTGCTTCAACATCTCCCAACCATTCTTCCTGCTGTCATGGGGCTGCTCACAGACAGTGACCCAGAAGCTGCATTCAGGGTCTAGACACAGGCCAGGTCTTGCAGGAGGACATCCAACAGGTGTAAACACCCTCACTTGGGCACCTGGAGGCCCAGGCCTCCAGGCCTCCTCACAGCTGCAGGAGGTGACAGCCATGGGCACCTTTCTTCAGATGCAACCTGCAATCCTGTGGCCTGCTTTCCATTAGGCTAACCTCCCTGAGAGTATCTCATTCCCCTTTAATCTGTGAGGCAGCTGCTAAGTGATTTATAGCTATTGATAACTTTGCTCCAGGATTCATTAGGAACAACAGGAAACAACAGGGAAAAAGGCTTTGCATCATTCTGTGTTGACCCAGGCCTGGGAGGTACAGTGTCTACATCACTGTGCAGTTGGCTGGTTGTACCGTGAATGATGCTCTGAAAAGGGCTAATGACAAACTGAGGGCCCTTACAAACAGTTAAAGGCCAAATGCGAGAGCCTGATGGACTCTTTGGTCTGTCCTTCCCTAGTACATGCCTCCTGCTTACCTCTCGTTGGAAGATGTGTGGAGGCCTCAGGGCTATCCCATGAACTTCTAGGCCACAGGGAGAGTTAAATGCCAGGATAGTCCAAGGGGATATGCTGGGCCTCAGAAGGAGAAAAAGATTATACACCAAAGGAGTGAGGAGCATCAGCTTTAAGATCTGAGGAACTACATCAAGGGGCCAGGAAATAAGACTAGATGAGCAAGAATTCATTGATTTGGGGGTGCTTTCTTGGGATGTAGAATTTAATACCCAACAAAGAATCCAGGGATGGGGCAAACTCACTGTTGGGTGGCCCTGAGAAGCCTAAGAAAGTGATATCTAAGGCTGAACAAAGGCTGAGCCTGAATTACCCTGGCAGATGGCAGAATATACTTGAATATAGGAGACCAACAGAGGGGGCCCACAGTGTGCCCCTTTACCCCAGTACTCTAAATGTGCTGCCCTTGTATAAAGCTTAGTGGTGTTTCTCCTTTGCAGGTAGGACAGGACAGCAGGGAAGGGCATCACAGAGCTGGGATAACATGGGTTCCTGAGGGCCTGGGCTCTGAATATAATTTCCTAAATGCTACTATTACTCTATATTTGGAAAATGACCCTACAAATGAACAGAGGGACACAGACAAGGCAGGCAGAGCCTGGGAGAGGGGAGTCATGGTCCAGCTCATAGGCTCCTCCATGCTTCACCTCACAATTCACATGTTTGGAAAGGAGTCTGCTTAGAACAAAGAGCATTATACACAACTAAAGTGGTCAGGCATGTGTACCAGTCTCTTCCCTGATCAACAAACTGTTTAGCTACAGCTGGGATTCCTGGATGCTAGATGCAGTCATGGGCACTGGAAAAACAGAAGGAAGCCACAAACTGACTGCTGTGTTGGAAGAGGCAACTGACACTTGGTGGCATCCTGCATGACAGACTGGTGATGCACTGCAGTGTGATTTCCTTGCACAGAGAGATGACGCATACCATGAGTTTGAACAGATGAAGAAACCTGAGGCTCAGAGAGGAATGTTGTCTAAGGAATGAGAATGAACCCAAGACGGACTTAAAGACAAGCAAAAGAGAGGCAGAGAGAGGGGCATTGAGGCATTCAATGGCCATACTTTCCAAGATCATGGCGCCTATGTCCTTTCTTCCACAAATGCTTTCCTTTCCAGGTCTTGGGAGTGAAAGCTTATCTATATTTATAACCCCTAAATTCTCTTCCAACCTGATATTCTGCTATGAGGTCAGAGCTTGGGTATTTTCTCCTCTCATGTTCAAAGTGGACCTCAGCTGTTGTCATCATTGGATACCTGTACTGCTAAGACATGAACTTGAAGTACAGAGGGTCAGTACCTTCCCCCACTCAACAGAAACTCTTCAGCTCCTTTTCCAAACAGCAGAGTCAGGCCAGAATTTGAATCTGGCTTGGAAGACCCCTTTCTGTTGTCACAGTTTGTGTGCCTGGGTCTGTCGCCCATTGGCATCTAGCAAGGGAGAGCAACAGTGGGCACACAGGAGAGAGGCAGATGGGCATACCGCACCATTTGTTTTTTCTTATTTATTTATTTATTTATTTTTGTGGTACTGGGCTTGAACTCAGTGCCTACACCTTGAGCCACTCCATTTCTTATTTATTTATTTATTTATTTTTGTGGTACTGGGCTTGAACTCAGTGCCTACACCTTGAGCCACTCCATCAGTCCTTTTTTGGTGATGGGTTTTTCAAGATAGAGATGGCTTTGAGCTGTGATCCTCCTGATCTCTGCCTCCTGAGTAGCTAGGATTACAGGCATGAGCCACTGGTGCCCAGCACACCATTTATGGCTTATGGTCCTCTTACTCCCCAGTGATGATTGCCGGGCCACCAGGGACTGGCTCAATTGTCCCAACTAGCCCAGGGGCCACAGAGAAGCTGAGCCCTACTTCTCTGTTGAATTAAACATTATGAGAAGTCAAGATAGTGGTTTTGACATAATGTTATTTCAAAAACAGCTTTATTCCAGATGGGGGATGATGGCATTAAAGGAGGCTTAGTCAACCTTTCCTATGATTTATGTGGTAGGAACTATATCATCTGCCTAAAGAAAAATTATAGAGTAATGATGTCTTGAAAGCAATCTGAATGGAGATTTGGTCACAAGGACTCCTGGTAACCTGTCTTCTACCAACAATAGCACAAGAGTTCTTGAGGAAGACATGGGCTTCTCTTTGAGGAGGTAATGTATAGCTCTGCTGGCACATACCTACTGTTCCTTCCATTGGATAAAATTAAATGGCTTGGATATTTACACAATGAGAATGGAGCACACTGTTTTCAAGTCCCAGCTGGGACTGCTCTTGTCCTCGATTAGGGTTCCAAGAGTGGTAACCTGGGACAACTATCTTCCATCCATTCTCTTTCCAGTATGAATGTGCTACTGCTGACTCCATTTCTCAGAGGTGTACAACTTACTTGATGTGAGTTAATTGAGATCCCTGGGCCTCAACTTCCACAGCACAGCAGTAATGAAAGAACACTCTACAGACTGTTATGAGGGTTAAGTGGGAATAACATATGTAAAGGCCCTAGGACTGTGCCTTACACAGAACAGGCACCATCATCACCACCATCATTGCCGTTGTCATCAGGGCACATTCCCTGTGCCTCATTCACTACCACTGTCATTGTCTCACTAACAACACAGTCTGTGAAGAAAAGAAAAGGTACTCTAAAATTATGTTGGGGCCACTTTGCTAATAAGGCCACTACCTCAAATCTCTGTAGGCACCAAGAAATCAACTTCTCTTTTCTCTCTTTCTTTATTTTGGCAGTATTGGGCTTTGAACTCAGGGCCTCTTGCTTGCTAGGCAGGCACTCTACCATTTGAGCCACTCTGCCAGCCCAGAAATCAACGTCTTAACTAAAAAAGCCACAAGGTGGTCAATCACAATAGAATCCTTAAGTACAACTGCTGTGGTTACAGAGGTGCAACGCAGGTCAAAGTGGTGCCTGAATCACATGAGCAAGCACGTGCTTAGTGATGAGGCTAGGGTGGCTGGAGAACAGCTAAACCTGCAAGGAAGGTTTGCTTTTGAATATGTGTGTGTGTGTGTGTGCGTGCGTGCGTACGTGCGTGTGTGTGTGACAGTGCTGGGGTTGGAACTTAGGGCCTCACACTTGCTAGGCAGGTGCTCTACCACTTGAGCCACTCCCCCAGTCCCTTGAATACACTTTTAATACATCACAGTCTCTCCTACACAAGTTCTTCAAGCCTGAATTTAGGGGCAAAAGAGATTTCATGGGGGAAATATTTTTGTGCCAACCATTGTCTAGTGCAGTAGCAACATGTGTGAGCCCTTTGTAAGAGAAGCTGCATCAGGAAGTCAGCCACTGCTGCACAATAGGTGAGGTGCCCCTTTCCCACTGGGCGGCTTACTTGTTGCTGTCTCGGTACTCATAGATATGACATCCTTGAGGCAATCCAGTCTCATGGTCCAGAGTGAAAGCAAGTTTTAGCTGAAGAAGGAAGAGAAAAACAAGTGACTTTTAGGTGGCATGTTCTATTCATTCCAACAGCTGAAATGGAACACAGAAATCAAGCAAAATAAACTCTCTCCTGGGCCTCCTGCTTTGGGAAAAGGCCACCTCTTACAAGAGCCCTGTCATCAACAGGGACTATCACCAGGATCCTACTTATTAATCTAGCATGTAACCAATTATTTATGAATTGCCCTTGCCTATTCGGGCCCACCACTGAGCTAGCTGAGGGGGTAGAAACATGACAGCAGCGAGGGGCTGCCTTTATGGGGCTTTCAGTCCAGTAGAGGGGCTTGACAGCAATCAAACCACCACACTAAGGAACATGCAAGTATATATAGGTAGAACTTTGAATTAAAGAAGGTTCTCTGAGGTAGGGAAAAAACCTCTCATGTTTCTATTAAAACTTAGATGGAATAGGGCTATGTGAAGGAGAATAGGGTTATCTAGACTATGGGTGGGATGGGAAGGGGGAACAAAGTGGATTTTCCTGGGCAGAGGGCACAGCATGTACACTGGTTCTGGGGCAGGAGCTCTATCAACTGAAGACAGCTATAGCAACAGATTCGGGGACACACTGGATAGTGACATTGGGAGGGAAGGGCAGGCAGAAAATGCAGGACTTTACCAAAGGTTTTGGTATAGGTAAAGATTTTTTGGTCTTTACCAAAGGAAAGCACCTGACCAGCTTTAAGGAGGGGGTGGACAGTGGCATCAGAGTTTTGTGTTAGAATACCCCTACACAGCAGGGTAGACTTCAGGGGAAAGGACAGAAATAGGAGACTACAGGGTGCTGCTGCTGGAGCTGAGGGGAGTGGTGATAGGGGTTGGGGTACTAAAGGGAGGGTGGGCAAGATGGACAGAAGTGGACAATTCAAGATCTATAGTGGAGGTACATTTTCAGAAGTAGAATTAACAGGATATGCTGATGGATTTGATGTTGGGAGTGGAGGCAACAGAAGAAAAACAGGATGGTTTAAGTTTTTTATTTTAATAACCAACCAGGTAGTCATTCTACTGCTGAGAGGGAAGACTAACTTTGGGGGTGGGTAGGGAGTCAAAAGTTTGGTTCTACCAGACAAGGATGCCCACTATCTCCACTGCTATTCAACACAGTACTGGAATTCCTAGCTAGAGCAATTAGGCAAGGAGAAGGAATAAAAGGAATACAAATAGGTAAAGAAACTGTCAAAATATCCCTATTTGCAGACGACATGATCCTATACCTTAAAGACCCAAAAAACTCTACTCAGAAGCTTCTAGACATCATCAATAGCTATAGCAAGGTAGCAGGATATAAAATCAACATAGAAAAATCATTAGCATTTCTATACACTAACAATGAGCAAACGGAAAAAGAATGTATGAAAACAATTCCATTTACAATAGCCTCAAAAAAAATCAAATACCTAGGTGTAAACCTAACAAAAGATGTGAAAGACCTCTACAAGGAAAACTATACACTTCTGAAGAAAGAGATTGAGGAAGACTATAGAAAGTGGAGAGATCTCCCATGCTCATGGATTGGTAGAATCAACAGAGTAAAAATGTCGATACTCCCAAAAGTAATCTACATGTTTAATGCAATTCCCATCAAAATTCCAATGACATTCATTAAAGAGATTGAAAAATCTACTGTTAAATTTATATGGAAACACAAGAGGCCACGAATAGCCAAGGCAATACTCAGTCAAAAGAACAATGCAGGAGGTATCACAATACCTGACTTCAAACTATATTACAAAGCAATAACAACAAAAACAGCATGGTACTGGCACAAAAACAGACATGAAGACCAGTGGAACAGAATAGAGGATCCAGATATGAAGCCACACAACTATGAGCAACTTATCTTTGACAAAGGAGCTAAAAATATACGATGGAGAAATAGCAGCCTCTTCAACAAAAACTGCTGGGAAAACTGGTTAGCAGTCTGCAAAAAACTGAAACTAGATCCATGTATATCATCCTATACCAAGATTAACTCAAAATGGATCAAGGATCTTAATATCAGACCCCAAATCTTAAGTTGATACAAGAAAGAGTAGGAAATACTCTGGAGTTAGTAGGTATAGGTAAGAACTTTCTCAATGGAACCCCAGCAGCTCAGCAACTAAGAGATAGCATAGATAAATGGGACCTCATAAAACTAAAAAGCTTCTGTTCATCAAAAGAAATGGTCTCTAAACTGAAGAGAACACCCACAGAGTGGGAGAAAATATTTGCCAACTATACATCAGACAAAGGACTAATAACCAGAATATATAGGGAACTTAAAAAACTAAATTCTCCCAAAACTAATGAACCAATAAAGAAATGGGCAAGTGAACTAAACAGAACTTTCTCAAAAGAAGAAATTCAAATGGCCAGAAAACACATGAAAAAATGCTCACCATCTCTAGCAATAAAGGAAATGCAAATTAAAACCACACTAAGATTCCACCTCACCCCTGTTAGAATAGCCATCATCAGCAAGGATGCGGGGAAAAAGGAACCCTCTTACACTGTTGGTGGGAATGTAGACTAGTACAACCACTCTGGAAAAAAATTTGGAGGCTACTTAAAAAGCTGGACATCGATCTACCATTTGATCCAGCAATACCACTCTTGGGGATATACCCAAAAGACTGTTACTCCAGAGGCACCTGCACATCCATGTTTATTGAGGCACTATTCACAATAGCCAAGTTATGGAAACAGCCAAGATGCCCCACTACTGACGAATGGATTAAGAAAATGTGGTATCTATACACAATGGAATTTTATGCAGCCATGAAGAAGAACGAAATGTTATCATTCGCTGGTAAATGGATGGAATTGGAGAACATCATTCTGAGTGAGGTTAGCCTGGCCCAAAAGACCAAAAATCGTATGTTCTCCCTCATATGTGGACATTAGATCAAGGGCAAACACAACAAGGGGATTGGACTTTGAGCACATGATAAAAGCGAGAGCACACAAGGGAGGGGTGAGGATAGGTAAGACACCTAAAAAACTAGCTAGCATTTGTTGCTCTTAACGCAGAGAAACTAAAGCAGATACCTTAAAGCAACTGAGGCCAATAGGAAAAGGGGAACAGGTACTAGAGAAAAGGTTAGATCAAAAAGAATTAACCTAGAAGGTAACACCCACGCACAGGAAATCAATGTGAGTCAATGCCCTGTATAGCTATCCTTATCTCAACCAGCAAAAACCCTTGTCCCTTCCTATTATTGCTTCTACTCTCTCTACAACAAAATTAGAGATAAGGGCAAAATAGTTTCTGCTGGGTATTGGGGGGGGGGGAGAGAGGGAGGGGGCGGAGTGGGTGGTAAGGGAGGGGGTGGGGGCAGTGGGGAGAAATGAACCAAGCTTTGTATGCACATATGAATAATAAAAGAAAAATGAAAAAAAAAAAAAAAGAAAAAAAAAGTTTGGTTCTAGACATGTTAAGCTTAGAGACAACCACTAGCTTTCTTGTGTTGGGGAAGATGAGGACAGGAACCCTGGTAAAGTTCTGATTTCTTTTTGGACTCTGGCAGGGGGTGCTCAGATGAGCTAGACCTCAGGAAGGCTTCCTATCCTGCCAGGGCTTAGGGAACCATGGCAGGCAGCTTTAACATTTCCAAAGCAGAGCCAATTACTGTCTTTACAAATTCACTGGGTTTTTAAACCACTAGGGAAATTTTCACTAAAATGAACGGCACACTAGGAGGGTACGTTATGATTTTTAACTGCAGGGCTGTTAACACAGCTAATGGTCTGCATCATTAGATGGTGGACGTTCTCTCCCTCAGAGGGGAACAAGCTCTTAGGAATGGCTTGTCCTCTTACTGACCCAAATGAACACTCAAAAACAGAAACACACTCTTATTTACCACCATGAAGCCAGAAACTTTGAGTCAAAGACATGCTTTTCCTACAGAGCGCTGCTTAGCTCTTCCCAGCTCTCTTTCGGTAAAACAAATCATACTTATGTAAAAAAAAAAATCTATCAATTACAACAACACCTTTCTCCTGACTTCTCTCTTTGTAGCTGACTGCATATTTCAAGTCTACACTGCTTTGAAATTTTCAAATCTTTTGACTCAATGTTTTAAGTTATGGATTTATGGCTTAGAAAAATTACCAGAAATGAATGAAGAAAAGTTTTATTTGAAGAACTGTTTACCTCAATGTTACATATTGGAAAGACTAACAGACCAGCAAAGGCAGAAGTTAAATAAGCTGCACTCCAGTCAGTCACATATGGGATAGCATGCAGCCATTACGCTGCTCAGGAAAAAATTTCACTAACATGGGAATGTATTTGGGATAGACGGATAAAGCAGGATGCATACTTGATTATATACCATGAGAACGGAGTGAAAAAGAACAAAGGCTGCATAGAAGAAGGCTGGGAAGAAAGAGACCAAAATGGCACAGTGGTAGTCACGTGGTTGGAGGCGCCTATGATTCTTTCTTTGCATTTTTCAGAGTCTTCATGATAAGATCATGTTACTTTGATTCTTATGACTGATAACTCTTACTTCTTGATAGAATTCTAAGCCCTTCTGGTTTTCCTGGGTCTTTGGTTTCTAATTTCAGTACACCTGGTCTATGTTGAGTCTTTGCTTGTCCTACTGGCCACTACAACAGTTAAGTATAGCAGTCAGCTTTTTCAACCAGTTCCCAAGGGCTTCTATTCCCTTATCATGAAAGGACGTACCAGGTTAGAGAGGACTAAGCTATTAGGCAAGTTCAGTGACACAGGGGAGATGAGCTGGCAGGGCAGGCTTGTATGGATTTCATGTGGTCAGAAAGGAAAAGCCATGACAGGTTTCAAAGCAGAAGATAGCCCTTTTTGATGGTCAGGTAGAGAATGGGCTAATGTTGACAGAAAGCCCGAAAAAAGGAAGGCCTTCTGGAATGCTGTTAGGGCTGGCTGATAAGAAGATGAAATTTGGCTCTCAGGAAGGCCTGCAGGGATGGGAGTGATAGGGGACAGCTAAGAAACAAGC